TTTAACTGGTCCTCGAACGGTAGTCCTTTCACAGTGTCGATAATTTCAGCGTTTTCCAATTGGCTGGCAGGGTCACACAAGAAGAACAAAGGATTGACCTTGGCAATTTCCAAAGCCCGCTTGATCAGATATTCAAAAGGTACACCTGGTGGGAAGTAGGCAGCGAATTTCCGGAAAACAGATTCTGGAGGAAAGATGCCCGCCGCACTCAGCGGTGGGGGCTCCAACTTCATAGCCTGTTGGATATATGGAAGGTCAACCTCTTCGAGACAGGAGATCAGGCCCACGTTAGGCTCCTCATTTGTGCTTTCAGTGGCATTGGCTGGACGATATCGACCAGCACGCCCGCCAATTTGTTTGATTTCAGGAACAGTAAGCCGTTGAAGTCCAGTCGGGCCACGCTTGACGAGGGTGTCAAAGATAACACGCTTGCAGCTCCTGTTGTGGGTTAGTATGGAAGCGCAAATATAACCAGTGAGGGCAGAACTCACAAATTAAGACCCATGCCAATCGCGTCACTCGCCACGAGGAAGTCATAGTCATTGTCTGGGTCATTGAACAGATTCGCCTGTTGGGTCCGAATCTCTGCAGGCAGACCGCCATAAACGATGGCCGCGCGTCTTCCAGTGGTCTTCTCGATGTCCGCCTTCATGGTGTGTATACCTTTCCGGGAGAAGACGACTACACAGTCACCCCTTTCCAGGCTCTTGAGATTACCCTTTAAACTGTGCGGCATCACTTCCAGGCCATTCAGACGTTCGTAGCGGTGAACCTCCAAATTATCTCCCGTGAGTGCACATAGCTCCCGAATCAATGGTACGGCGCGGGTTTCACCGCACAGGTGCAGTTCGGCTGCCTGGGCACCAAGGAAAGCTCGAGTCCATGCCCATCCTCTTGATGAGTTGGCAATCATTTGGATCTCGTCAATCACGCCAACATCATATTCCTGCCCCAGGCTGACCATTTCGACAGTATTGCTGGTAATGCGCGGCACTTGATCATCTTCGGGAAATTTGACATCGTCACCAGTGACGAGACTACAAGGAACCCCATCTGCCTTGAATCGATGATATACTTCTTGCGCTAGCAATCTCAACGGACCTGCGTAGAACCCATTCTTGCTTTTCGCTAGCCTTTGCAATGCATGGTAGGTCTTTCCAGAATTTGTCGGCCCAACATGGAGATGAATTGTTCTCTGCATCGATCGTGCGCGCGGATACCACTCGGCTGGCCATCGAAGGTCGGTCACTTCCTGCTGTGCTTCTAGGATAGGTGCCGAAAATCGGGCAGTGATATTTTCCGAATACTGCATATATTCCACCTCCTCTCGCAGACCCTGAATTCCGGAGGCGAGGTAGGCCTTTTGCAGCGCTACCTTGATATGCCGAAGGGGTCCCCATTGTGCAGATGCCTTGTTATCATCTGATTTGCAGGCGTTTTTTATTTGGCGTTCGAATTGAGTCCATCCTTCTAGTGATTCTCCTGATTTGTTCAGCTTGCTGTATACATCGCGCAGGGTTGCTTCCACCAGTTCGTTGAAATCTCGTGCGGCCGCAATATCCTGTCGGGCGGCTCTTCCGGCGGAAGCCCCAATAGCTGTTTTGCTTCTTTTTGCGTCCGATTTTCTGTCCGGGGAGATCTCGGGTTTGACCTTTTTCGATCGCTGCAAAATCGAGGTTGTGGTGAAGGGTCGTACGGCGAAACGAGTCAAGGGTCGCAAAGCGCAGAGAGAGCGACTACCGCCAGTCCATGGCTGCATTCCTGGAGGATGGGGACTCCAATCCCGTAGAGAAGAACAATTCGAGAACAAAGAAAATTGAACAGTTGAACAGTTCTAACAAAGAGAAGGGTAGAGAGAAAAAGAAAGGACATAGGAGAAACCAAAAAGTTCCCTTATCGACCTGATCCACTTTAAAGCTCCAATGGTGGGGAAAATCATCTTCCCTTCATATACCTCAGACGGCCACCTAACAACTCCTCCTCCCCAGGGCCTTGAAACTAAACATCTAGTCAATCTTCCTTACTATCTGCCAGCTTTTTTTTGCTCTTTCTTTTTTGTTCTAGTCCTCACCCCGAAGCCCCAAGTTGTGGGCTGCCCGCCATCATGGGCTCCTCGATAATTAACATTCAACGCGACTGTGGGTGACTACTCCTACTACCTCCTGCAAGCACCCCTGGCTGACCTTGAACTTTCTGCAATAGTTATACTAAACACAATCCGCAATACCGGTGGCCATGAGGTGAGCCCAACCCCTCCGATCAACCCCTCTACCGCGGATACTGACGGCACCCTCCCCCTAAAAGTGGAAAGTTTTGGTGGTGGATGAGACCAGCAAGAAATTGATTGACGGAGCTGTGAAGGAAGAGGAAATTCTCAACCTCAATGTTTCCAGTGAGCTCGTCTTGTGCTTTGCGACTCGAGCAATTTCACTAATGCCACACCGCAGATGTCGAGCAGCTCGAACATCGACGACCGTCCAATCCTGATATGGACGCGCTGTACATATTGTCCGCGGAATCGTACGTGGTCGATTGTCTAATGGCAGATTTCGAGGTGGGCCGATACAGAAAGGCATTCTTGGTGTGGACTTCATGTTAGTGGGCTGGTGAACCCGAGGCCTTTGCGACGTCATTCCGCTCACACAGCTTATAGCCCTTGACCCGCAACAGCGATCTCGGATTGAGCGGTCTCAGATGGCGCGCGACCGCATTGCGGACTTTTACACCATGAACATCAATTTCTACCCCAGAGAATCACGCTTGATCACATTCCGGGATCCGTGGAGCTTCCCGGTGCTCTTCCACCCGGGTTGCAACAATTTGATTCGACGTCATTTGGAAGAATTAGCCCAAAAGGTAAGATATACCCTCCAAGTATTCCAATTGAGCTTGCTGACGTTGGATCAAGGTCGTCTCTCTTTGCGCTTCCCTAGGCGAATACCCTGTAATTCGGTACTACCGGCCCCGATCTCCGACCCACGAGGCCGCAGTTATGTGCTCTCACTTGGCACGTTTCATTCAAAATGAATTGGATCAGTTCGCGCAGCATCAGCGTGACTTCCCGCCTCAAACAAACCGCCCTCGAGGCGTACTACTCGTAGTAGACCGCTCCATGGACTTGTTCGCTCCCCTTCTTCACGAATTTACATACCAGGCCATGGTCCATGACCTTCTTCCTGTCACAGATGGAGACAAGGTCACCTACAAAACAGTTGTAAACCAGGGCGCCAAAAATGAGGAGGTCAAGGAGATGGAGATTGGCGAGAGTGATCGAGTCTGGGTGGACTACCGTCATATGCATATGAAGGATGTGCTTGGGAAACTGGGCGAGGACTTTGCCAAATTCCGAGCAGCAAACCCTCAGTTCGCAGACGAGTGAGTTTCAACAGACCATCCCTATACCGGAGTCGGATTGCTAAATTGGGATTTTAGTAACGACAAATCTAATGTGAACACCATCAAGGATATGTTGGGTGGACTGACAGAATTCCAAGAGGGTAAGGATGCCTATACACTGCACCTCAACATGGCGCAAGAGTGTATGAACTACTTCCAGTCTCGCAAACTCTTGGAAGTGAGCTCCACCGAGCAGTCATTCGCCACGGGTTTGGATGAGAACTACAAAAAGGCAAAGAACCTAGCAGCGCAGCTCGTGCAGCTCCTCGATGACGACTCAGTCGTACAACCAGACCGGCTTCGACTCATACTTCTGTACATCATGTATCGTGGTGGATTGTTAGGCGGTGACATTCGCAAACTAATGGCGCACGCTGGACTCCCACCAAAAGACGGCGGGGTGATTGCCAACCTTGAACTCCTCGGAGTTCGTATCGAGAAGCCTCTCAAGGACGAAAAGCCACCAGTGCATCCTCTGTTCACCCGACGAAACCCACCACCTGAATCAGCGGAGCTCAGCCTGAGCCGGTACGAGCTAGCTATCAAGCAGATGCTCGAAGACCAGATCCAGGGCAATCTGGACCCGACTTCTTTCCCCTTCACACGCCCGCACACCGAGACGGACGGTGCCATAGCTGCACAAGAAATGCAATCACAGCAGGCCTCTTTACGCAGCGCAAAGCCTACCTGGGCACGTACACGATCCATCGACCAGCCTCGGCAGCGCATAATCGTCTTCATGGCCGGTGGTGCAACCTACGGCGAGTCCCGAGCTTGCTGCGAAGTCTCAGCGGCATACAACCGGGACGTCTACCTTGCCACTACGCACATGCTGACCCCGGGTCTCTTCCTCCGCCAGGTAAGCGACCTCGGTGTTGACCGTCGTCGTCTGGACCTCCCCTCCGAGCGCCCCAAACCTACTGCCCCGGCCCATCTCTTCGAGCGCGAGGCCCCACCAGCTCCCAATCCGCCGCCACAGAAGAAGCCGGTTTCAACAGCACACCTCAACCCCCCAGCTCCGCCAGAGGCGCTAATGGCTGGTATGTCAATAAACTCAAACGGAAGCGGAAGCAGCCCTGCCTCATCTGGCAGCGGGAAGCACGACAAGAAAGACAAAAAAGACAAAGAGAAAAAGGAGAAGAAGGAGAAAAAATACCGTTTCTTCAAGTAGCTTTCTCCATTTCTACTTCTCTTGATCCCACCCTGCCTCCTGTGTCCTGCTGTCCCCGTCCAGCGCTTTTGTGATACCATTCTTTTCCTTGTATTTCTGTTGGTCTGGTCTGGTCCCGAGCATTCAAGGCGCTATTCTCAGCGGTTTTTTATTTCTTTCCTAAGTTGAGTCCTATAAAGGTTTAAGTCATGGGAATGTTTTCACTGCACTACAATTTATTTTAGGTAGAATCTGGACACTAGTTTCAAGTTACAGTACCTAGTACATAGTCAATATTCAAGTCAAGCACTCAAACAGAAACAAGTGTTGCATTTTTATTTGAAACTCATATCCACATAAAACCACAGCATAAAATAACAAATGGGGGGTATCATCAAACGCAAACAAAACAAAAAAAGAAGCATATCCAACTCTCCACCATCCATCCATCCACCTAAACCCCCTCCCCAAGATACTTCAGTACCTCATCATTCTGATAAAAAGCCTTCCTCATCCTCTCCGCCCTTTTCTTATCCTCCGCAATCTTATTCCGCAACTGCTTAGGATTAAGCTTCTGCACCTTCACCGGCGGCGCCGGTCGAGGCGGCAACGGATCTCCATCCCGATCAAGCCCAGTCCCTAGCCCAGCAGTACCATGCTTGACGCGAGGTTTGATAGGTTCACGAATACCCTCACGACCCGATGCGCCGAGCCCTAGCCTACTATCAGGATCCCAGCCGTAGGTAGACAGGTATCGGAGACCTGAGCGCGTGCGGTCGAGGTGCGACGGCGGGTGGGAGTGAGTGAGACAGATCTGGTGCGCGAGGGAGGCTTCGTGCGGGCGGGCCTTTTGATCCGTTGCATCTGCTGTGGCTTGTGGTGGGAGAGGTAGGCTGCACACGTCGCAGTACTCTGGGGCCGCGGGCACCGCTGTGGGTGGAGGCGGGGGAATGATGTCTTGGGCTGGTGGCGCGGACTGTGTGCGGATTGGTGGTGATGGTGCGCGCTGAGTTGGTGTACTCGGTGATGTACTCGCAGCTGGTTGTTTCATCACAATGGAAAGGTATGTGTCTGCGATGCTGGTGCCGGAGGAGGAGGGAGTTGGGGCAGTTGTTGTGTCTAGATCGGAGGAGCGCACGAACTGCACGCGTTTGCGGCGGACACCGGAGCTGAAGGGTCTCTGTTGCTCCGGTGGGAGGAAGTAGTCTTCGTCTTCGGAGGCCATGGTTGAGAATAGTAGAGCTGTGAATGCAGGGAAAGGAAGAAAAAGAACGAAGATCGGGGGGGCGGAGCGGAATTAAATGGTGGCGATAAGAGATAAGCGGAGATGTGGACGTGTACGTTGGGAGAAATCCCTTTGGACACACCTGTCCTTTCTCTTCCCATCTTCAAATCTCAATTAAATTATGCCCATCCCCATCATTGCCCAGGGTATCCGGGATGGCATCTCGTCCATCCCACATGCCTGGACAATCCTCCGCATAGCACCATGGTTGCTAGCCCTCGCAGCACTGAAATACTATTTCGAAGGAGCCCGCAACGGCTCCGAGCGACTGATGCGATCAAAAGTGATAATGGTGACGGTAAGACACCCCTCAAGCACCGCACAACCATCCAATTACCTTACCCAAGCTAACAAACATCAAAACCATTAGGGCGGAACCTCCGGGATAGGCGCAGAAGTAGTCCGCCATCTCGCAACTCGCGGCGCCCAAGTGATCCTCCTAACGCGCCAACCACCCTCCGACCTCTACCTCTCCGAATACATCGACGACCTGCGCACCAGCACCAAAAATCCTCTAATCTACGCCGAACAAGTTGACCTCTCCTCCCTGCACTCAATCCGCACCTTCGCAACAAAATGGATCGACAACATCCCACCCCGCCGAATAGACTGCATAATCCTCGCCGGCGGCACAGCCGAGCCCTCCACACCCCGCACCCTAACAATAGACGGCGTTGACCAGGAATGGCAAACAAACTACCTTGCAAACTTCCACCTCCTCAGCATCCTCAGCCCAGCGCTCCGCGCACAGCCCGCACACCGCGACGTACGCGTCATCTTCGCAACATGCTCGAGCTACATCGGCGGCGAATTCAGCAATCTGGATTCCGTGGCACGCGGCAAGCAGAAGGTGGTCAAGAAGCGGACGAAGACTTCTCCGGCTCTGTACGAACAGCCCAAGGGCGTGTACGCGCTCAGCAAGCTTGCTTTGACTATCTTCGCACACTCGTTCCAGCGGCATTTGAATGCTTACGAGAGACCGGACGGTTTGCCACCTTGTACGCGGGTTATCGTTGTTGATCCTGGTCTGACGCGGACCCCGGGTATGCGGCGGTGGTTGACTGGTGGGTCGTTGTGGGGTCTTGCATTGTACTTGCTTACTTGGCCTATCTGGTGGCTGTTTTTGAAGTCGCCTGTGCAGGGTGCGCAGAGTATTCTGTATGCGGCGATGGAGCAGCAGTATGGACGGGGTGGGGGTGGGTGGTTGATTAAGGAGTGTCGGGAGATGGATTATGCGCGGACTGATGTGCGGAATGATGAGGTTGGGAAGAAGCTTTGGGAGTTTAGTGGGAAGATGGTTGAGGAGGCGGAGAAGGAGAGTGCTGTTATGAGGGCTTTGGAGAGGAAGGAGGTCGAGGTTGAGAAGCAGAAGCTTGAAGCCGAGAAGGCGGCGAAGGAGGCGGCTGAGAAGAAGGGGAAGAAGACTGATGGGTCGAGGAGGAGTCGGAAGGGTCAGAAATAGTGAAGATATGTATATGTATCCCTGTTTTATAGGTATAGGTACATATGTATAGTATGATATGATTATATAGACGGAGTTGAAAAAAACTGTACTCTACAATTACAAAGAGAACAAGCTCAAATTTATAGACCAAGCATCACAAAAAAAGGAAATTCGTTTCATGTATTCTACCAAACAGACCCAGGATTTCTATATCAACAACGGCAAGATCATTACAAGCCACCAAACACGATTACATCAGAAGCCGAAGTAAATTTACTTCTTGAGCTGAGCAAGCAGCTCAGCAGGGGGCTCCTGGCGGTAACCCTGGGGGTTGTTCTTAGTCCAAAGCCAGAGGTCCTCGCAAGCCTGCTCGAGGGTACGCTCAGCCTTCCAGCCGAGCTCGGTGTGGGCGCGGGAGGGGTTGGCAGTGAGGTTGAGGACATCACCAGCGCGACGGGGAGCAACCTCGTAGGGCTGGTCCTTTCCGACGGCGGTGGAGAACGCGCGGACCATCTCGTAGACGGTGCTGCCCTTTCCGGTACCCAAGTTCCAGGCGCGGACACCGGGGCTGTTGGCGCGGAGGTATTTCAAGGCCTTGAGGTGGCCGTCTGCGAGATCCAGGATGTGAATGTAATCGCGGATGGCGGTACCGTCGTGGGAAGCGTAGTCTAGGGCAAAGTGTTAGATTAGGGGCTTTGGTAATGGGAACTAGAGGGGAGGAAAGGTTGCATACCATCACCGAAGACCATCAACTTCTCGCGCTTGCCAGTGGCAACCTGGGCAAGCAGAGGAAGCAGGTTGTAGGGGACACCCTGGGGGTCCTCGCCCATAATACCGCTGGGGTGGGCACCAGCAGGGTTGAAGTAGCGGAGCAAAGCGCCGTTCCACTTCTTAGCCTCGGCCTCGTTACCGGCATTGATAGCGTTGTTGCGCTGGGCGTTGATCAGATCGGTGATGGCGGTCTCGACGGCGAACTTGGTGTTGCCGTAGGGGTTGGTGGGGCCCAGAGGGCAGTCCTCGGGGATGGGGATCATGTTGGGGAAGCGGGTGGCATCACCGTAGACGGTGGCGGAGCTGGAGAAGACAATGTTGGTGACATTGTGCTTGACCATGGAGCGCAGGAGGTTGATGGTGCCGTAGACGTTGACGAAGTAGTAGTCCAGGGGCTTCTCGCCGGACTCGCCGACAGCCTGGATTGGGACAATTGAATTAGCTACTGGATTATACTATGCGGTTTATTTTTCTCTTATTTCATCGGATACATACCTTCAGAGCAGCGAAGTGGATAACACTGTCAATGTCGGGGTGGGCCTCGAACACCTGGTCGAAGCTATTCTCCACGGTGACATCGAGCTCGTAGAACTCGGGCTTCTTGCCACAGATAAGCTCAACACGGTTGAGAGCCTCACGTGAAGAATTGTAGAGGTTATCAGCAACGACGACCTTGTAACCAGCCTCGAGGAGGGCGAGGGCAGTGAAGGAGCCAATGTAGCCCGTGCCACTTGTGGGGAATTAGTTGTAGTTCCAATATAAGATCCCAAATAGGGAAATTTTACCACTTACCCAGCAACAAGAACTGAACCAGCAGACATGATTAAATTCCGTATAATGATTAGTAGAAAGATGGAGAGTACGCAGAGTCCGGAGTAAAAAGCGGACGAGGGGCAGGTTTTAAGGGGAAATTAGAGGTGGGGGGGACCTGGGCCGTCTCCCCACGTGGATATGTGATGATGCGGCCGGGTGGTTTGATTTGATTTTGATATTCTTGTTTCTTGTTTCTTGTTTGGTGTTTAATTTCCCATTGATCTACATGCTTATACCTTTAATTTCCTTTTATCTCCTGATTGAGGTTATTGTACTATTGTCGGATTGTTGATGCAAACATAATGTACATCAAGGTATGTGTGTTATGACCGAGTTTGGTGGAGGTGAAAACAGCCCTCAGTCTCGAAACGGGCAAGGATATGCGAAGATGTGCAAAGATGTGCAAAGACGCAAAGAGAAATTCCTCAAATCCCTCAAATCCCTCGAATTTCCCGGCATCCCCTGAATCTCCCAAATTGCCTGCAAACAACGTTGTTTAACCGGGCCGAATAAGGACGTATGCAAGGGGGTCCAGTCGGCCCAGGCCCAGTCCGTTCCCGGTGAACTCTCGGCCAAATATTATTTACTCTTCATTTTGAATATAGAACATTGAAGTGAAATTGGTATTGAAAAAAAAAAACGTAAAATAAACCGGGTTCAGGTAAAATAATATAACCCGATTTTTGGCAGGGCCCTGTATTTCCCTGTAGGTATGGTAGATAGTGTGTTGCATTCTCGCAACATTGTCTCGAGACCAGTGCTCATTCTCATTGAATCAAGTCTGGATGAGCTCAGACTCTGAAGTGGTTAAAAGGCCCGGGCATATACCCGAGGAGGCTCAAATTTAAATTAGCCTATTTAACCGAGGAGCTCAACATCCAGACCAATGGCCCGCATGAAAAGGTTGACATTGTTCAGACGCTGACTGCCCATATCGGCAGGAAGGGTCTTGCTGTATCCCACGGTTTCCATAACACGGTCCCTATAAAAAATTAATTAGCACAATTCCTGGGTATCGCTAGGTCGAAACGGAAAACTCACTTAACGGCAATAACCAGACGCTGCTGCTGTTCAGGACTGGCGCCAATGCCTACGGCGGCAAGGAACTGCCACACATACATATCGTCACCGGAGCTGATTGATCCCGGGAAAATGTCATTCAACCCGAGTTCCAATGTATCAAACAGCACATTGAACTTCTCAACCCACTGCTGCCAATCGTGCTCAGAGGCCTGACCGGCCTCCTTGACGATCTCAGCACGACTGAGCAACATGGTCAAAATGCCCAAGCCAACCTTGGTGCGAGCCAGGGTCTGCACATGGGTTTGGTTGATGACCAATCCCAAAAGACCAATGATAATGTTGAATGGCGCCTCGTTCACGTATCCCAAAAGGCAGGGCATGACAGCCAGCGAGAACAGGTCAATGGCTTCGCGCACACCGAGCGATGGCTGGGCCTCGCCCGGCACAGGCTGAGCAAGGCGGACCACGTCCAGGCTATCCAGGTGGACGACAATCATGGTGAGGATAGTGACACGTTGTTCCTGGTCGATGTGACGGAAGATGCGAGGAATAGCCTTCTTGCCCTTAGGGTATGACAAGAATGCGATAAAGGGGTGTGGTGTCGTCGAGTTGGGCACAATAGGTTCCATCACCTTCAATGATCGCCACAACTTCTGGTTGAGCGAGTGAAGCTTCTGTCTCCATTCCAGGTGTTCTTGGATTGCCTCGGCGTCGCCTTCTTCGGGGGGTGGCGGCATCGTGCGCTCCATGTCTTCCATTGCCATCAATGCACTGTAAACACCTTCGAGATTCGTAAGAATTGATTTGCGGTCACTGAGACTCAGATCCGACTGCTTCTTGGGCTTAGGTCCCTCTGAGCTATCAGGGCGCTTAATGTTCAGCATCGGCTTGGGAGCCTTGGCATTGCTAAATGAGATCTTGCCCAAGCTACCCTCAATAATAAGCTGCTTGTTCTTGGGCTTGGCCTTGGCCGCCTCTACAGCGCGCTGGACCTGCTGCTGCATTCGCTGCATGTGGTTGTCGGCACTCTGGAAATTGCCCCGACGATGCCCGCCGAGCCGGTTACCGGTCTGGAGCAGATAAGTCTGGGCAAAGTGACCAAGGGGTTGGTGGGGGTGCTGGCGTGGTGCACCACGAATCTGGCTGTAGACTTGGTAGTAGAAGTCCTCCGCCAGCACGGCCTCGGGATCTGAATCTGCGACATTTCCAGCAGCCGCGACCAGCTGTTGCAACTGGATACGGGTGATGAAATTCTTGTCCTGCGGGGTCATCAGACCATTTCCTCGGGACAGGAGGAAAATCTTGTGGTTGCGCTTTGCCCGCTTAGCATCCTCCACCAAATAAGCGTTACGCTGCTCTTCTGTGAGATGCATGAGTTGCTGCGGATTAGTGATCACCGGCATTCCATTGTTGGAGCCCCGGCTAGGCGGCGGCCCTTGCTGATGTTGAGGAAGCTGCTGGGGCTGCTGGGGTTGCTGAGGGCGCTGGGCCTGGGCCTGGGGTGGACCACCATGGCGCGGGCCAGGAGGCGGCATATTTTGCGGGGGGAGGTTGGCGTTCTGCATCATGTGCAACGGCGCACCAGGTGGCATATGTCCATGGCCACCGTAGAGCTCTGGCATACCAGGCGGTGGGTGCGGCATTTGCGGGGGTAGGTGGCCCTGTTTCATCTGTGCTTGGATGAACTCTGGGGGCACCGGAGGGAACCCATCAGGAAGCGTCTGAAGATGCTGGAGCTGGGGTAGATAGTGAGGCTGCTCCACCATGGAACGCAGGAAAGCTTCTGCGGCTGGGGTCGCGGTAGTATGGCCATGATAACGCATCTGTGCTTCGACCTCTTCCAAGCTCATCATCTTCCGGCTCGGGGCAGCAGCAGCGGCGGGTTCGGCTTTCTTCTGTGAGACACCCCAAACACTAGATTTGGCTTGCAAGTCTGGAATATAACCGGGATCCGAGTACTTCTCATAGCCTGAGCGCTTGGTAGTCTGCTGGGGGGCGGCCGGCTGAACAGGAACTTGGGCGGGCTGGGGAGCGACTCGACCTGCATTGGGATTTTGTAGGCTAAACCGAACCTGCTCCTCGCCAATGGCGTCAGAAACCTGGGCAGTCTTTCCAAAGAAATCAAAGTCTCTGCCAACGGATGTATCGGGGCCGGCTCCGCCAAACGTGTCATCGTTGAACTCGTCCTGGTCGTCGGGAAGCTGGTCTCCAAGACCATCGTAGGTATCCTCGAAATCAATCCTAAATGATGGTGAGTACAATGGCTCATTCCAAGCCATTAAAAAAGATAAGCTCACACGTCGTCATCTCCCAGCGCATTAGCTCGAGCAATGTCGGCAAAGGGATCTGGGTTCTCGAAGAACCCTTTGGGCCCTGAACCATCACGGTCCCTGGGTAGGGTTGTATCAAATCCAAAGAAAGCCATCCTCTGGATGAGGAAGGATGAGAAAGAGGTGGGGAGGTGAATAGCTTAGTGGGGGGGAAGTTGAGGAAAGGTGCGATCGATGGACGGGAAGTTCTGGAGTGCGGATGCCTCAGGCAGAAACGGTGCTTTTTGCCAAGCCACAATCGTCGATCTTGTCTTCAGATGTGCAGCTTTCACCTTTTGATATGTAAAGAATTGTCAAAGATTAAGAGGAGATAAGATGCTGCAGGGCTATTTGAAGGCCTTTAGAGTCTACCTGGTAATACTTTGACCCTATTAACTACATATGTATATACACAAAATAATGTACATACTCAGATAGTAACAATAACAGAGTCGACAAGAGATAGTTACCTTGAACTTGTATAGCAACGAGGATTATTTCCCCTTTCCTTATCTTTTATAAGTGGATTTGATATCATCTCCAAGATCGAATAAACATGGATCTTACTAACCCACGCACCAGTACTCTAATAATATCCCCTGAGCATTAGAATGTCTCAAATTGGGTGACACCCCAAGTGGCTGAAAGCGGTTGTCATTGTCTTGCGCGGCCTTTCATCTTTTCCACCTTTAATCTCCCCTCCTCCCCCCTAAAAAACCTTCGGGATTTTCACTGGCTGTTCCTCAATTTTAATTTCGTCCTATTCTCCATTGATGTCGCTCGCTTTCTAATCTGGATTGGTACTAACTGCGCCGGTCTGACCTCTGTTGTTGCCTTGCCACTTAACGGGGAATCATCATTGTTCCNTTTTCCCCCCCCCCCCCCCCCCACATCACCATGTCTATCAATATTCGATATGCGCGCTACCTACTCTTTGCCGTCATGGTGAGTCTTTTCTTCATGCTTACGAAGTTCAGTCGTTAACGTTGAGTAGGCATTGGCGGTCTTCTTCTTCGTCTCAAAGTCCTCCATCCCGATGCCTACCACCGGGTTAACTACTCCTACACCCAAGGCCCCCACATACGATTCAGTCAAGTCGCAAAAACCGCAAGTTATCGGCGCACACCATGCCGAACGTGTAAACGCCACCTTTGTCACCCTCGCGCGTAATTCCGACCTTTGGGACATGGTCAAGTCCATTCGAGCTGTCGAAGACCGTTTCAACCACAACTACAACTATGACTGGGTATTCCTGAACGATGAGGAGTTCGATGAGGAGTTCAAGAAATTGACCACCGCACTGGTCTCGGGCAAAACTCATTATGGTGTCATCCCCGAAGAACACTGGTCATACCCAGAGTGGATCGACCAGGACAAGGCCAAGGAAGCGCGACAGGAGATGGACCGCAAGAAGATCATTTACGGTGGATCGGAGAGTTACCGTCATATGTGCCGTTATGAGTCCGGGTTCTTCTTCCGCCACCCCCTCATGATGAACTTCGAGTACTACTGGCGCGTTGAGCCTAGCATTGAGCTCTACTGCGATATCGACTCCGATCCATTCCGCTTCATGAAGGTGAACAACAAGAAGTACAGCTTTGTCATCAGTCTGTACGAGTATGTGGCGACCATTCCTACCCTGTGGGATAGCGTGAAGAAGTTCACAGGCAATCACCCCGAGTATGTTTCCGAGGGTAATGGCATGGAATTCATCAGCAATGACGGTGGAGAAACCTACAACAACTGCCACTTCGTAAGCACTTCCAATTGAGTTAAACTTGAATCTCGCTAACATTTCTGCCAGTGGTCAAACTTTGAAATTGGCAGCTTGGAGTGGCTGCGATCCGACGCATACATTGACTATTTCACATCTTTGGACAAGGACGGTGGTTTCTTCTATGAGCGATGGGGCGACGCACCGGTTCACTCCATCGCCGCTTCTCTGATGTTGAAGAAAGAGGAAATTCACTTCTGGGATGACATCGCCTACTACCATGTCCCATTCACGCATTGCCCCTCGGATGAGAAGAAACGTCTAGACTTGAGGTGTTCTTGCCAACCGAAGGATAACTTCGACTGGAAGGATTACTCTTGTATGTCCATAACCCTCCGATCTATACCTATAGTACAACACTAACTGCGATACAGGCACCAAGCGTTGGTTCGATATTACCAAGATGGAGAAGCCCAACGGATGGGACAAGAAATACGACTGATTCACTCATATCGTTCACGGTCCCTCTGGGTATATCCACGGATAGCCCAGTCGTTTCCTTATTGGCGACAATGCGCGGGTCGGTTGTCTCGCCTGGATACGAAGCGCTGCGCTTTTTGGAGGCTGGCAGTGTCACCCATTTGCGCGGCAACTATAAACCTCGGTAAAATTACCGTGCACCTTGCCCACTGCTCCTCTTGTGGTGGATATCTCACCTGGATGAAGCAATATGCTATTCGATTTTTACCACGCTTGGGCAAAAAGCTGCACGTTTAACTTTCAACTGTTTCATTTTGATTCCCAATATCGCGTTACCCGCAAGAGGTTTTCCTTCGATGTCAGACATGTGTTACTATGGGTTTTCGAGCGTTCGTCCTTGTGGTTTATTTTGTTGCATGGGTCCGGAGTAAATTGATATTCCCGGAACCATTTTCTATACCTCTAAAATTTGAAAGATATCAATACACTTGACTTAAAGAGATTTGATATCGAAAGAGATAATATGATAATAAACAGTCGCAATCCGTATCGTAGTGTTACATGCAAATATGAACAGAAGTTGCTCAGCGAAGAGCACAAAAAGCCAAATCCAAGTAGCCCAATAAGGCTATCTCTTATACAGCAGCTGATCAAACAAGGCCAAATTGTATAATCTCACAGCAGGTCAATCGATCAACCTGTATTCCTGACTCCATCTTAGTTGGTCTTCGGCTTCTTCGCACCGTACTTCGAGCGACTCGTCATACGGCTTCCAACACCACCCTAGTAGCATACAATCAGTAAAAGATCTTGGAACACATACACCCCGAAAGCGGGTGTATACAATCGGAAGCAAAAGAAGGACTTACCAAATCCATCGCACCACGAACAAGGGTATACTTCACACCGGGACAATCCTGAGCACGTCCACCACGGACCTGGACAACACTGTGTTGCTGGATATTGTGGCCTGTACAATAAAATTAGCCAAAAATCCCGTAACAAAAAACAGCACCGGAACAGAATTCATAGAATCTCATTCCAAGCACCAATCCAATCCAATTGCAAGTAAATCTTACCTTCACCAGGAATATAAGCAGTAATAACCTTCCCAGAACTCAATCGTACTCTTGCAACCTTCCTCTCGCCAGAGTTAGGCTTCTTGGGCTTGGTAACACCGGTCTTAAGACAAACACCCTTCAAACCAGGTGTACCCTTCAGCGCAGGCGAACCACCGCGACGAGCCCGCTGTCCAGTACGAATACCGCGGCGGACCTGGTTGTACGTAGCGCGGATGATCGGCGAGCTAGAGAATTGCCGCTTCGGCACAGCGGAGAAGCCGGCAGCGGCTGTGCGGAAGACGGGGTGGAAGTTGAGGCGGGAGGTGATGGGGGATTGTTTCGAGGCGAAGGAGATAGCGGGTGATGTGGTGATGGTGCGGCAGAGGGGGGAGGAGATCGCAGGACGGTGGATGAGAGTCCGTAGGGCCCGAAGGGCTATTGGGGAGAATAATTGAGTCATGTTGGGTGGTGTGAGGTGTGAGATTTGGTTCCCCTTTCGCTGGAGAATATCGCGATAGAATTGAGTTGGCCCGGCGGAAGTGGAGGGCACGTGATTGGATGGTGTTGGGGGAGTTGCCTTGTTGGTTCTTCTCGTCTGTCGTAGGAGCTGGCCGCGCTGCTTCTCTCTGCCTGAAGCATCATCGGTGGTTGTCATCTTGCATCCTCCCTTTACCCTTGTTTCTACTTTTCTATCTCCTTTCCGAGCTTTAAATACACACCTAGACTTGTTCAATCTGCGATCTCGAACCTTGAACCCGAAAACCTAGCATTATCCACCCGTCATCATGGTACGTTATCAAGCTACGGACCCGGGACATCACCCTGGAGTCCAGCCTATAAGCAAGCATCTAGAAGCACCATCACCATCACCAAACCCCGATCCTTGAACCCTCCAATCCACCTCTGGTCCCAATTTCAAATAAATAAAACTAACAAAAAAACCCCCCCAGTCCCTCCGCATCGCCCCCCCAAGCGGCAACGCAACACAAACGAGCAACCTCACAACCCGGCAACAAGCAGGCCTCCAAGCACCCCGCCCATCCAAAGGTGCTCCCTCCGCTCCCGGTCTCCCGGATACTCTCCGCAACAAGCTCACGCAGGCCGCGACCGCACACGCGTCGTCCACGAACTCCAGCGGCGAGATTCCATCATCTACGCACCCTCTCGAGGCACGACTTATCGCGTGGCGGGCTACACAGGACGCCTTGAAGATGGAGGGACTGCGTCGGGCGTATGGTATTGCGGAGCCCGTTCGTCGCGGGATGGAGCTAAAGATCGTTCGGGATGGGACTTTCCGGCCTGCTGTGCTTGGCGGTGTGCGGGGTGGAAATGTTCATGAGGATATTCTTGTTATTGGAGGTCGGGATAGTGAGGTTCAGTGGGAGGATATTTACCACGGTATGTTACGGTTTAGATTTGGGTGGTTCTTGATGTTGAGTTTGGATGTGTTTTGGCTAACTTGGTTGCTTTAGGTGATGACCTCCGTGAGCCGCCTGCTTTCCATGACGAGATGGAGAAGAGGCTCAAGATGGACTTCTAATGGCTTTGATGATATGGTGTTCTTTTGTTTCTCTGCTTTTCTATGTCGATGTGTTCTACTATTCTCCTCTTACGTCCCTCGTCATACTCCTACCTCATGTCGTCAAATAGAATGATAGATCACTGGACTCGGTGGGTTTTCGGGCTGTTTGTCTGTCTGTTATCAGGGCAGTGCAGTACTCTCGATATATTGAATCAATCCATGGTCTATTTCTACCCAGTAGTCTTGCAGAACCACCTTCAGCTATAATAATATATATTTCTACGGTATAAACGAATAGTACGCTACTCCAAATCGATCGTCGACCTCGAGTCCCTTTCT